CATTTGTGTGCTAGCAGGACAAAGTTTTTACCCTAGCATTGATGATTTGAGTGCTAGCAGGACATCGTTTTTACCCTAGCAGGCAATCATTTGTATGCTAGCAGGGCATCGTATGTATGCTAGCAGGGCATCGTATGTATGCTAGCAGGGCATCGTATGTATGCTAGCAGGGCATCGTATGTATGCTAGCAGGACATCGTATGTATGCTAGCAGGGAATGGTATGTATGCTAGCAGGGCATCGTATGTATGCTAGCAGGGCATCGTATGTATGCTAGCAGGACATCGTATGTATGCTAGCAGTGCATCGTATGTATGCTAGCAGGGCATCAGACATAAAGGGCGAGACTCATTTCATATAAACCAGTGGATACTTGGTCGATGAATGATGAGATCAACATCACGCTGGCCACCTTTACTTCTTATAAAGTTACCTAATACCCATTTTAGCCTTACTGACTTGGGAGCTAAGGTCCGTTGTCGAAGAGTAATGTTCTGAGAAGAAGAAAAAGCTGGTTCGTCCAGCACGTCCCTGGAAACAAACTATTTTGAGCACTTTTAGTGTAAAGATTCACATTTAACATGAACTATAATGGACACCGTTAGTGTAAAAATTCAACTGTGACATGAACTATACAATAGGCACCTTTGCTGTAAAGAGTCACATGTGACATGAACTATATAATAGGCACCTTTGGTGTAAAGAGTCACATGTGACATGAACTATAATGTGTTTAAGAGTAATGATTGCTAAAATAGGTCATTACCATCATCATCATCATCATCATTATCATCAACATCATTTCATCACTTTTATCATCATCATAATCATCATAATTACCATCATCACAAAATCATCATTTCCAGCTTCATTATTATCATCCCCATCATCATCGGCATCATCATTATCATCATCATCTCATCATTACTACCACCTTCACTGTTGTGTTAAGCGCCGTGGGGAGGAATAGTTTTGCCGTCCAGCTCTGGTTGGGTAGCACTGGCTATTGTCATTCGTTGTGAATGTATACAGTCTTTAATGTCATTGATCCGTTTTCTACTTGGGCGCCCTCTTGTGAATAAGTAAGAGTTGTTATTGGATGGAATAATTTAAAATGGTAAAATTAATGAGTGTACTGATAATACTAAAACGCCATTTTAAAGTTTGCCATTGTCTCTTTGTAACACTTAAGCTTAACTTGCTTCCCTATAAAACAACTTTGTAGCTTCTTCGTCTAAACAGACGGGAGGCTAAAGTAAAGTAATAGAAAAGACTCCATTCCACGTATTCAGGTGTACTGGGCAACACCGTGATCATTATTATCTATTGTACAGCTGTACGTCAATTTGGGTTAGAAGTTTATTCTTTCATTACGTTCTGTCATGTGCAGCCGTTGCTTATAAGTCTACTTATAACTGTGTTTAATTGATATAATATTCATCATTATCATCATCATCATTATCATCATCACCAACATCGTCATCATTATCATCTATAGTGCCGTTATACGCCACGTAGGGTTGGCAGTTTACTCTTCCATTCCATTTTTCCCTTCTTCTATTTCTTCTTTTCTCTACTCCTGGAATGTCTCGCATCGTCAGGGCAGTAAGCGATCTCTGTAACAGGCTCTGCTGTTCGCTTGCATTTAATCTTGTGGAATTGTTTCAACATCACATACGGAATTCATCAAGTGTGGCCTCTCTCATCAATATCTGTCTAAGGGTATCTTTTGGGCATTCTCTTTTGCTCATTAAATTGTTTTCTCGTTTTAAGTGCATAAACACAGTTACACAGCATTCTTTAACTTGGCTGTACTGGAGATGCTTTCAAGCCTGTCGAAACCGAGTTAGCATGGTGACCAGAACTGTCTTAGCAGCATTATGGGGTCCCTAGGAGAACCAGGTAATGGAGCCCTAAGACAGCCACTTGAAGAAATGAAATTTGTATCTACAATCTTTGACATACACAGATTAGCTTGGGACCCCTACGCTCGTCGGGCCCATGGCAAGCGCCCCGTGGGCCCCTTGCAAGCGCCCGTCGGACCCATGAGTTTGGGATGGCAGTGATAATAACTACGCGCTTACCATCAGGCCATATGTCTTGGGTTCAAATCAATGCGGACACGGAATTTGTAAATGACCTATTGTGAGCAGTTTGTCTTGTAGCGGCTAGATGCACGCCTGTGGATCCGAATGTCGTGGGTTCAAGTCCTCACGGGGTCAGATTTTTAAAATTTGTATTTTGAAGGACATTGGTCTAGCGTTAAGTGGGTACCAGGTAGAGTCCTTGGAAGTAAAAGCCGCCGTCCTGTACATATTACCCACATAATGGAGAATGAATGAAGAATTAAACTCACTGAACTCGGGACATTCTCAAAACGTTGTCCGTCCCTTTCTACAGTAGCTAACTAAGAGCTGACACTCTAACAGTACAAGTTGCAACTTGACTAAAAGTAGTGCCAGTTGGTCTGTCAAGACATAATTAGCAGTTCGACACCGCTTAAAACTGGCGCTAAGAAATCACATATCAATAGAAAATAGCAGATATGATGTTAACTATAGATCCATAGAATATCCATTAAACTATAACAATAGGTTTAACATTATATGTCTATTGTCCCAATGGCATGAACTGGCACTAAGTCGTTGACTTTTCTTTTAGAAAATCGTCTAAACGGAGATTCTAAGTTTATTGTATATTTATAACTGATAAGGGTAATCGGCATTTCTGTTTAATTTGACTCGACTTATACACACCCACACAACATTGTAAGACAATCAAGGTCTGTGTTTCTACTATCACTCAACAAAGAGCTATGGTTAAAAAAGTCATCATCATTCTTCATCAGTATCATCATCACCACAACAACAAAGTCACCATCCTGTGTCAGACGTGTAGTCGATTCCTCCAGTTTCTTACTTGTACTACAAATAGTTGTTACTTCACATAACGTAACGGGACATACAATTTAAATGAACTGTTTGTTGTGGGCGTGACAACATCGTTTACTATTCACAGCATCGATACCTGCGAGTTTTAATCGAACTCGTAAATGTTCATATGTATATTGTGTTGTAATGGCAGAATGGTTAGTGAACTTGCCAGATATAGCAGTGGTAAGGGTTTAATACCAGCAGCGATATGATTTTTCTCTAAAAACCAATGTTGCAGTACGGTCTAATTGACCTCACCTGTACCGGCACTACAGAGAATTCTCTGTGAAACTTCTCAGAAGGCAAGGCGACGATATTGGCAGTTGGCCACCATGCTTTACGTAGTCTAGAACAGCGTTTCTCAAACTTTTTTTTTTTTTTTTTTGCCGCTGCACCCTTGTGAGGCAAAAAAATTTCGCGGCACACTTACCCCTAAAGCCGTTTGAATACTTAGGAAAAGAAGGGGGGGAAAAAAAAACAGCGCAAAAAAATTTTGTGTTGTCTTTAATGAGATAAATGAAAGAAACTGTTTGGATGAATTTTTGATTTTTTTTTTCTTTCTGCTTATGGAAAGTTTAGTTAATTGTTCTCTCAAATCACTTGAAGGATGCTCCGTATGTTTTTTTTTTTTTTCAAATATAAGCTTTCTTTAAGAATGCACTTCAGCCTTGCCAACAGCATGTTTTCTGAATACACCTGCATCCAGATTTTCCTTCGTGGTATTTCTTATTTGAACTGCGGTCTTCAAGCAGATTTGAAAAAAATCAAGATTGTTGTTGCGGCACCCTTGGCATATGTTCGAGGCACCCCTGGCATACACTATCGTTACCCCCTGGGTGCCTCTGCACCCTGTTTGAGACCAACTGGTCTAGAATATGTATAGGTCTAATACATTACTAGTGGATCTACTATATATATATATATATATATATATATATATATATATATATATATATATATATATATATATACATATATATATATATATATATATATATATTTCCACGCAAAACCGATGAATATGATGACGGGGGAATCTGAGCATCTATGGATGTGTCTGAAGTGCTGTGACGATAAACCAGCTCATAGTTCATAACTGGAAACGGCTGTAATCGGACCGCTTAAACTTTGCATTTGGAAAGAAAAGGGCATTTTTCTACTATTTATTATTATTGTTTATTATTTATTACAAATATGCCACTCGGTTTACGTCTTCAACAAAGCGACAATAACTCTCAATGCATGTTTATGCCACTCATTCAAAAACTGCAACGTGTGAAAGCTACTAGCTACTAGTCTTACAACGTTTGCTGCATTCGCATCCTCTTAACAGCAAAGCAGCCGAGAAGGGCAGGAGGGGGGGGGGGAGTGGGTGTGCGATACCACGTGACTCTCTCTCTAGTGTAATGGTTACCTGTTAACGCTTACACATCAGAATTCATCTCGCCACGCCACTGATATAGGAAGACACCGATAAATCTGCAGGAGCTGAGCAGTACGATTCTCCCAGCCTGGTTGTCATAGGAGGAACGTTGTGCAAAGAACTTGATGCATGATCATATGTATGCTGAATGTTTGTGTAAAGACACCACACTCTCGTTTTATTTCTTCAGCTTGCCAGTCTTCCACTGCCATGTTTGACTCCCAATTCAAGGAGCAGTCACAAGCTGCTTGCTCCGGAACTTCCTCGTCATTTGACCAGCATGTCGAAGGATGTGAGCATACGAATGATCTCAACATGAAACCAGTGTCAGTGATGGCAGCAACAGAAATCAAGGATGCCATGAAAAGACTGCATTCAAGGTTCATTCTAACGCTTGAATTAAACAGAGGATTATCCATTTCTGAAGGAACGTATCATTATACTGGTAAATGCTGGTACAGTTTTGTCACTGAAGAAATAGTTTCGTAATTTCGTGCACGAATCACGTAACTTTTAGTTTACTCTTTTGTACACAACGCATCACAAGGTAATCGGCAGTAATAATTTCTTGTTTTGTAGTCGTGGGTAAACCGTACCAATTGTTTGTAAAAACACTAAGATAAATAATGAGTCAGAGTCGAATATCACCAGTAATGCTCTTTCTTTGCCTGCTGGAGAGGTAGATCTAACCCTGTGGATAGAGAATATCAGTATAAAAAGACATTAATTTGTTGTGTGGATGGTTCAGTTCATAACACTGTTAATTGCTATGACTACATATTTATTTTGGCAATCTGTTAATAATATAATGTTAAGTCGTCTAGGTATCGGTATACAGGACACAAGTAAAACAAAGAACGCTTCTCATTCAAACGAGAGATGGTACACTGGGAATCATGCTAGCTACCATTATTTCCTAAAATATTTTCAGGTACCCAGTTTAGGCTGCGTCGACATGGGAGGGAATTTTCTTTAAAAATAATTAAGGAGATTCTAAAGAAAGACCTTTGAGATCGGCAGGCGAGCATTTAGCTACTGCGCCACTGTGCATCCACATGTACAGAATACTAGGTTTTCACGGCGACAACTTCTTCTTATTGTGCCGCCCTCCTCCTCCTCTTTCTCTTCTTCTTCTTTTCTTTTTCTTCTTCTTCTTCTTCTTCTTCTTCTTCTTCTTCTTCTTCTTCTTCTTCTTCTTCTTCTTCTTCTTCTTCTTCTTCTTCTTCTTCTTCTTCTTCTTCTTCTTATTCATCTCAGGCAGTTGCACTCCGACTTCGAAGGATGCACCCATTAGTCAACATTTACGACATGCTTGCTGGGAGGGGGGAGGGCGCAGTGGTTCCATTATCCTGTCCCGAAAAACAGGGCCATGGAACCCGCACTTGGGCCTCAGGGAATTATCATCATGTGCCCTGCCAACTGGCGTAGGCACTTATGCGTCTCCACAGATCACGATCCCTGGTTGCCTGGAACAGCTCTCTTGATGATATCCCTCCGTACCATCGTTTCAGCCCATTCAGCATCATCTCTCTTGGTCTGCCTCTACCCCTTTGTCCACCGATCTTTCCAGCTGTCGCGAAGTTCTCCAATGTATCTCATCTCATTATGTGGCCAAAGAACAGAGTTTGTCTCTTTCTTATTGTTGTATATAGAGATCTACTTTTATTAGCCACTTTCAAACAATCGTTGCTTTTAATCTCTGTCACATATTTTCCATCCGATGATATGATTGTTCCTAGATATTTAAATTTATTCACTTGATTAAGTTTTTTTCCTTCAACTGAAATATCACAACTTGGAATCATCTTGTTCTTTGATATAACCATTACTTCCGTTTTCTTAATATTCAATGAAAGTCCTTTCTCAGCACTGTCCATCCCCACAATATCCTGGTGGTGGGAGAGCCGGGGGGGGGGGGGGGAGCTGTACATGATGTTTTAGGAAAGGAAATATATGTTGACAGAAATTTTAAAATAAAAAAGTGGAAAGTGGAATATCTCAGTCACATTAAAAGACATTTGAATCTCATGAACCTAGTGTAGGGGTGGGTGTAGTTTGTAGGCAAGCGAACAAGAGGTAGACAGCAATATACGTGGGTGATAACATCAAGAAATTGACATACTTCAGACTCGGGACGACAAACAAAGAGTCTCTGAAATTTCTTGCAGCCTGAGGAGACGCCACTTGATTGTTTTGTTTGAATAGTTGATTAGAAATGTTTTGCCACTACAACATTGATGTTTTTTCGCAAAGCTGGCACATAGTGAAGATACATGCTAGTTAAATTAATTACTTTCGACTGGCTAGTTTGTTGCCAACTCTCCGTTTTTCTGACGTCTTCATTTAGCCTCATTTTCCAATGGTCCTTAGACCTTTAGCCATCCTACACCAAGCCCACCAGTAAACCTGCCCAAGATTGTTTGATTTTGCTGCTACAATCGTCAGTGATGAGATGTGGTGATAGCTGATATTAACGCACTGTCCCTAGCTTCAGCAGCCTGCAAAGAGTTCCAATGCCCTTGCTGGCAGTAGCAGTTTAATTATGTGTTCATCTTGTCTTGTTTCTCAATATCAATCATATACCCTGGTTACTGCCCACTGTACCCTTCTCTCCAATGGGTACTGATTTTTTTGCGCCTCCGCATTCTTCACTTGCTGCCAGCGGACTTCGACCACATCAATGGTGCCGTACCAGTCAGTAAGTCTTACCGTTCCTTCCCCATCTCACCTTCATATCCCGGAGAAAGGATCTAACAGACGCTAAATATTGGGGACCTCTGTAGAGATCTCTTCCATGAGACGAACAAATGTGCTGGTGACAGTGCTAATGAGATTAAAGGTTAAAGGTGACAGGATCGACTTTATTGCACTGGGTTTTATCTATTACGACTCAGTCTCTCTCCGCAGAACGGCTAGTCGCTGCCCAGATCGTCACACAAAGCATGACCACCATAGATCCGTCAACAGTTCCCAGGGATCTAAAAATTGCTCCCGTTAACCGAATGATGGTCGACCAAAACGAACTCACACGTTTCAGAACACATTACAAACAGCTAGGATAAGGGCCAATGCGAGGGCCAGTCCTACCATCGTCCCCATACGTTTCCTCAAGGCTGGGCAGGTTCACAATGGTAGAATCAACAAAGACGCATACGCTCCATCTATGCTTGACTTTGCGAGGGACTGGTTACTGGCGGTTGACCTACCTGGCCATGAAAGGTACCCTGAGTCAATCCGGAGGACCGGCCTGTGACCTGACATAGTTCTCCACTCTGCGGAGAAACGGCAGCTCATCCTGATTGAGCTGACCGTCCCGTATGAGTTGCGAATGGTCGAAAGCCATATGTCGAGAAGTACAGTGACTTAGCAGCCTGTCTGAGGAGGGACGAGGCGTACAAAGTAAGGGTCTTCGCCGTCGAAGTCGGCGCAAGAGGTCTCATTGCCACTTCACTCTACAATGTGATTAAAGAACTAGGCTTACGAGGTAATGAACGCAAACGGACACTTAAAGAGCTGGGCGAGGTTGCTGAGAGGGCCTTGAGCTGGCTCTGGACACAACGAAACAACATAGGGGACGGGCCTCGGTGAGCTGGTCCGGGTGTCTAGCGGAAAGGAATTTCTCATCCCTTAAAAGTCCATCGTGTCCGAATTGTCTGTCAGTGTCCCTCTGCCACCTGCTAACAAAGTGCAACATGTGTCCGGTATACCAATCGTAAGCTTGCCGCTCGGTCGTTCAGGTATGCAGACTGCTTTAATTATGCTACCGCGACGACTTCTTATCTCACAATACATGCTGCAAAATCACCAATTCGTCTTGTCCCTACCCGGACAACATCCGGTAATTCGTGCAGCAGGGGAACCAACCCTGACGTTCATGAACTCAAGTGGGCCCACTCTCTGAAAATGTCTAGGAGCTCGTGGGCCGAAACATTTGTCGACGAGAGATTACTTCTACTGACGATTGGTAGACCCCTGCTGTACATGCTCCCATGTGGAGTTTCTTCTTATTACGACTCAGTCTCTCTCTGCAGAACGGCTAGTCGCTGCCCTGAGCGTCACACAAAGCATGACCACCATAGATCCGTCAACAGTTCCCAGGGGCCTTAAAATTACTCCCGTTAACCAAATGATGGTCGACGTAAAACGAACCCGCACGCTTTAGAACACATTACAAACAGCTTGACCACTTAGCCACAAGGATCCCCCCAAGATGTAAATTATCATGTTGATAATAATAGTGAAGATAAAGATGATGATGATAGTGAAGTTGAAGACGATGATGATTGTGAAGATGAAGATGATAATGATAGTGAAGATGAAGATAATGATCATAATGATGATACCTGGTAAACTGCTGTCCATCTCAGAACCGAACCGGCCCATGGAGTAGTAGCCGGAGAAGGTATCTGACGATTTGGTGAGGTCATACTGACTGTGATGACGTGTATCTCCCATCCGGCCTGACAGTGAGGGTCCTGACATCACTAGGGAGCCGTAATGGGACGTCAAGCGTCCTGTGGCGTCCATCCCTGGATATGACAGGGCATGAGCTGCGGACTGTGAAATGGGAGAGAGAGATTGGCTGATATGGTAGGCTGTTTAAGATATGAAACTATTCAGAATAATAATTATACTTGGAAATCTTTTTCTTCTTTCGTTCGCTTGGATTAGATTATCTAAATCTGCAATGGTATCTCTGTATTAACTTCACTGTTTGTTGTAATTCAATCAGCGACCCGTAGAGTGGCTTGCATCGATGTTTCTCTTGGCCAAACGTTTACTGCGAAATGTATTGCTGAAACAAAGTTGCCACTGCTAGAAATATCTATAGGAATAGACACGGGGTTGAGATGATGTAGAATTGCTACAAGTCAATATAACATTCAATTCGTTTTGTTGTGTTTATAGCCCTACCCGGCTGTCGTCGGGGGCCCTAATGTAAGCAAACAGTTGCAAGGGGTTTCCGGGACTTGTGCTCGGGTGATTCTCATCCGTTCTCATGACATAAATTTGAATTTTATTCAGACTTGCCCGCCAGGAAGAATGATCGCCTTAATAAAAGAGAGAATTTATTTGGAAAGAAATAAACACCTTAAAATATACCCATAAAAAGTATTAATGACAATTCGCAATTGCGCCAAAGAAATTGAATTATCCAAATAGTGTCACAGTTTGATATCGCCGGAAACATTTTTTTAGAAATCAATAAATAGTTGGGAAGAAACGGTCTCAGGGATTGTCTTTTATGACATCCGAATGGTGGCCCTTTGTGTCACCGGGTGTTTATCGCTGTTTGTAGGGTCCTGGTGGGGCTGAACGTCCCTCACTCACTCCAGTTGCGATGCATCATCCATACCGGCTTTGAATAACTACCGCTGTATCCTCTAGCCGTCAGTGGAGTAGTAGTAAATATAACACAGTTCGCCTTTACTTTCCAGAATATTTTTTGTAACGATTTAAGGCAGGGTAAACCTAAGCCACAGGGGACATTTAAAGAAAATAATATTTAAAAATAATTATATTATTTTATATATTTCTATGAACATTTGTTTCTATCGAATCGTCATCGATTCGACAGCCAGCTTACTTGCCAATGGGCTTTCGTTGTTTCCTTATCACCCTCATCAAGTGACTTGCCGACTGGCTTCGGCGATCGTGCCTTTACACAGTCTGCGATCTGCAACTGCATGTATCAGTCCGTGTGTTGACACTACTCCATGCCATAACAAAAAGATCGTCAAGAATAGTTTCACGCTGTCTTCCCCTGTCTCTTTTTCCACAGATATTTCCAGTGGTCAAAACATGTTCCATTTTCCCTCTTCTCATTACATGACCATAAACATTTTGACTGTCTATTTCTGTCTGTGATAAGTTGACTTCGAGCATTCGCTTCTTTCGAAACATCTGGGTCGCTCTTCTTAACTGTCTAATGAATTATAAGGATTCTTCTGTAAAACAACTTCACCTTATCATAGGGTAATAAAATAATGTATAAACTGCATGTTCTGTACGTAATCTGTTGAGTTTAGAACTGACATCACACCACCCCTGGACATTTCCGTAAGTGCTCCGTCTCATTTTTAAGAGCCAGCGAGGAGTTCCAGTTCCGCTGGCGCCAGTTAAGTCAGTCGGTTTCTACTTTCTATTAAGTGTAGACCATGGAAACTGAACGGAAAGTCGAGTTAAGTAAGAGACACCCTGGTCACCGCCCGCTGTACAATTCTCTCCTGGCGGTTGGTAGGTTGGTAGGCAAGTAATGTATGCTTTAAATTGGTAGGAATTAGGTAGGCAAGTAATGTATGTTATAAATTGGTAGGAATTAGGTAGGCAAGTAATGTATGTTATAAATTGGTAGGAATTAGGTAGGCAAGTAATGTATGTTATAAATTGGTAGGAATTAGGTAGGCAAGTAATGTATGTTATAAATTGGTAGGAATTAGGTAGGCAAGTAATGTATGTTATAAATTGGTAGGAATTAGGTAGGCAAGTAATGTATGCTATAAATTGGTAGGAATTAGGTAGGCAAGTAATGTATGTTATAAATTGGTAGGAATTAAGTAGACAAGTAGTGTATGTTTTATTTTGGTAGGAGTTAAGTAGATATGTAGTGCATGTATTTTATTAGTAGGAATTAGGTAGGTAAGTAGTGTATAAATAGGTATTAGGTAAGCAGGTAGTGAAGATGGTAGGTATAAGTAGGTTGGTAGGCAGATAGGTGGGTGGGTTTACGTAGAAATAAGCATAGCTAAAGAGATAAACAGAGACAGATACTTTACCTGTGGATGAGGGTACGTGTGAGACTGGGAACCATAATGGTATGGCCAAGCTTTGTGAAAATTGTATAAGGAAGATTGGAAGTAGGCATCTGCGCCGAAGGTGAAGTTACTGCTGCTGTTGTTGTTGCATGGTGGTTGGTATGCAGAATTCCAGAAAGATGGTGGCAGCTTCCGATGGCACATCAAAGGTGTATCTGGAGACAATAAGACCACACTGAATAAACGTTCGTGTCAAATCAGTCTGGCGATTAGTCCATTTATTAATTTAAATCGTTTTCTATAATAGAATTTACTTAGGTTCATAATTGTTTTTTTTTTACACGGCCCAAACATGATTACTTTTCATGCCCCATTCTTGTATTATATTAACCCTTTATATTTAAATTATTACAATGTTTCAAAGCTGTATTTTCAGTATTATGAGAATTACCAATTGTTACTCTGAATTCACATCTATAGCTTTGAACCTTGGACTGTGAATAGGTAGGCAAGTAGGTCTACCCCACCAGGACATCACACATGCGATAAACACCTGATGACACAAAGTGCCACCATGCGGGTGAGGATCACCCATGGAGAGGTCCCGGAAACACCGTTCAGTCGTTAGGCCATATTTATGGCCCGGCTATATTTGGGGCTTCCGGCAAAAGCCGAGGTGGGGCTTCAAAATAACAAAACAAAAAAATTGCATCCAACATGGGGACGACTTATAACACACTTTAATTTTAAAAACTGTGACTGAACAAATTTACCAAATCTAGGGGCTATGGTGATGTGCTTTCTGAGACGCATGTTGGGAATACAGCCATGATAATTTAACAACAAATGCCTGGAAATGGCTAATGAAATCAGAAAACTGTTTATTGCTCTAAGAAAGAGCTAGTTCTTCGGTGCGAAGAGAGGCTTTGGAGAACATTGTGATAACTGGAATAAAATGGTAGAAGAGGTAAGGGTAGATCAAGATAATCGATGATTGGCAGCCTGAATCGATGACATGGAGGATTTATTTTTCAGACTAATGAGACTAAACATTTGTTCATCTGAGATGCAGCTGTATGTATATTCATGGAATGTTACTGAACAAATTAAGAAGACTTTATAGGCCGTGAAGATGTGGTTTTTAAGACGCGTGTTGCGAATACTGTGAACAGCCAAGGTAATTAAAAAAGACTACCTTAACGAAATTATAAAACTGTACAACTTTTCCCGTGAGATGAGTCTAGTCATATTCCAGATCTATCACCGGCATGTATAGGGACCTTTAACCTTACTTTTTTACAATTCTTGCATTTACTTTCCCTCTTACATATACAGACTCCATGTCTAACTGTCTTCCTTAATCGTTCTTGTTTTTCATCGCTCTTTTACTACCTCCATTTCTTGCTAGGTTTCTATATCACTTTCTCTTAATCTTTCATTTCTTCCCTCGCGCTCTCTTTCCATCCCTCCCTTTAGCCCTCTCCCCTCTCTCTTCAACCCCCTCCCCAGTCATCCCATGAAAGTGCATTTCTGCTAACCTTCCACATCTATCATTATTTCTGACAATGTATGTGATGGTAATCTCCCAATCGTGTTTGTGTTACTGCACGCGCCCCGTCAGATTAAGCTCCCTCTTGGGTTTTTCCCAATAACAGTTGCCGGGAGGAAAGTCCGCAACATAAAACGTCATGTTAAGCATTATTACCTCACTTATTTTCATCGCTGATCTCCTTGTCAGGTGTCTGTAACAATACATAATATCAACCCAACTTTTAAGTGCAGCCTTACAAAATATAGGCTTCAACCTTTTCAGTTGACAACAGGGGCACTGAAACATGGTGGCTGAGGGCCCTTAATGGGGGCCCCAAACATCATTATCGTCATCGTGGGGCATTTCCCTAGGAAAACGTCGCCCTCTTCACTACGTGCTTGAAACAAAATTCGGTCTTTCTACTTTCTTAGGGTAATGATGTGGTAGCTTCTCCTTGACTTCCACATCCACATCGCTTTAATTTCGTCCCCAGCCCTTCACAACTTTTAAGATTGCCAGGGCAAGTGACGACGTTGCTCTGTGATACTCCTGCTAATATCAGAGATCAGTATCTCGACTAGCTTTTTTAGGACCCTCTCTATATCAGCATGTCTCAAGGGCTAAATGGGATACCACAAAATTCAAGATAGGCGTATCAGCTATGTGCACCTGTGGAAAGGTGCCCCAAACAGCAGAGCATGTACTCCAGGACTGCACCAAATTTGACACATTAAGGCAAATCTTTTGGCCAGAAAGAACAACAGTGGAACGGAAACTCTGTGGACCACTGAATGAATTAACAACAACAGTGAAATTTATACAAGTGACAAAATTGCTGATATAGACAACTTATTTCAGGCGAACGAAAGAAGAAAATAAGAAGAAGAAGAATTGGATACTATCCGGTGCAATAAAGTGAATCATCTCCAGTGCTGAGTTTCAGCATTGTGTCAAATATTGCTACAAGACCATTTGAAAAGGCTAAGTTGAACATGCAGAAAAACAAATTACATCAAAGTAAATTCGACTAAAACCGAAACAATGCAGGTCACTAGAATTTTGGTCCGCTATATATAGGGTTGAATGGTACTTCTCTAGAGTATTTTAAATAATTAAAATTTTTAGGAAGCAAATTCTCAAAGGACGGGAGAAAAGGTCGAGAAATAGAAACAAGATGACAACGAGCCAATGCGCTTATATACTAGGGCTGTACCGAATATTCGCTTCGTATTCGCTTCGGGGCCGAATAGTGGACCTAATAACTATTCGGTATTCGGCCGAATAGTTGCGGTCGGGCCGAATAGTTGCGGTCGGGCCGAATACGAATAGTGGTTACCTTACTCCCGTTTCTGCATACACTTTGATGGACTGAAATAACTCTCTCATTAACACAATAGTTGCTGTTGCCTAAGTCTGTCGTAGCGGGAGAAACTGCGACCCGGTTGCGTGGTACAAACTGCACAAAATGCCAACCACAGTGTGTGTGTTCGTGTGTGTGTGTGTGTGAGAGTGTGTGTCTGTTTGTGTATGTGTGAGAGAGAGAGAGAGAGAGAGAGAGAGAGAGAGAGAGAGAGAGAGAGAGAGAGAGAGAAAGATCTTGCATTTTTCGTTCTTTCAGGGTGTCTTCGCCCAAATCAAATTTGAAGATATTGCTAAAGAGGATATGAAGGGGCGTTTAAATTACACCGAACGAACGGCCGAGCGAACGATGGTTTTGAAAGAGGCAGGAGCCCAAAGACAACTAATCACAGACATCAGAAGGAGACAGTCGTCATTTTTCAGCTATGTTATGAGAAGATGGCAATTTGAACATTTGGTGACCACTGGAAAGATCTGTGGAAGGAGGGATAGAGGAAGACAACGATAGAAAATTCTTGAATGTCTTGTTGCATGGCATGGAGATGTGTCAGCACACGAACTGATACATGCTGCAGGTGATAGCAGATTGTGGAGAGGCATGATCACTCATGCTAGTCAGCAAGGCACCTGATGATGATGATACACTATTTGTATTCGTATTCGGCCGAATAGTTGGACCCACTATTCGTATTCGACCGAATAGTGAAAATCACTCTTCGGTACAGCCCTATTATATACCAACTGACACCGTTATAGGAACAGCCAAAAATACGTTTGAGCTCCAAGAAACAGATTATAAACAGCATATTCATTCCAACACTGTCCTATCAATGCCAGACTTGGACGTTACTTTTGGCTAACCTAGATGAAATTAACACCTGCGAAATGAAAATGTCTGAGAAAAGCCGTCAACTTCAACCATCCGAGACCAAGTTATAAATTATATTATCATACAGACTGTGGGAACAACATCATACAGCAAATTCATTAAAAAGTGGTTTATCATCTGGTAAGAATGCAGCCAGAAAAACTATCAGATAATGTTGCTACAGATTAAAAGATCTGATGGAAAAGCAGGAGGTCACCCTAGGAGAAGATGGACTTATGACATTGAAAAACTTTTTCATCAACACGGAATGACAATAGGAATTCATGTCCATCAAGCAATGGATCGGAGACTGTTTCTGCCCACGGCGCTAAACGACAGAAGTGGATATTATCTCTAATATATCTACAATTGGATGACGGAGAATCGCGTTAGATAATACAGTTACGCTGTGATGTCATAATTAAGGTTATTCTTTTCACCGCAAATACAAAAGCCGCAGTAGTAGGTTCAAAATAGACATGAGTGGATTGGATACCAAGCATCAGCAAGTCAACTTACAGGGGATATATCTAATTTAGATATGTTAACAAATGTTCCATCAATTGTATTCGAAAAGACATTGTGTACAAATGCAAGAAATCATAGATCTTTTAAAATACATTTAGGCCTCAGCAAGGCGAAGACCCTTTCAGCAGGAGGCATAAGAAAGAATCCAGTTATAGGTATCTGGTCTGAATAAATATCCTATGCGTGAGCACTGACATATTCCCAACATTCTTCCAACAGCCTAAGGAATGCATTTGTCCTGAGTCTTCTACGAGACCACCGGTCGTGGAGCAGAGAGTGCCCTGCAATACGTGCTCCCTGCGGTATTCGGGATCTCACGAGGTGCCGTGTGTCTAGCATTTACACTAATAATACGAGTTCTATTCAAAGCATACGAGGTTTGCTTATCCTTCAGCTCTTAGGGCTGATCTGTTGTCACTACTTCCTTTGTGAGCAGGCAGCACATATTTCCTTCTCCTGTTCTCAGGGACGAGAATGTATAAGTAAGTCGCCTATACCGGATTTTACATTATTCATTTTATTTGTATATGTGTGTATGTGTATATATATATATAGTTATAAATATTATATATATATATTATATATATATATATATATATATATATATATATATATATATATATATATATATATATATATATATATATATAGTTATATACATACATGCATATTGTTGGGAAAGTAAACACATACGGACATTACAAAACATTTTATTTTAATTATTTATTTAAAAAAAAAATTTCTAAATTATTTGCATCCCTCAATATTTAAAAGATGTTCACAATGCTTTTTTTTTCTGAGTGTTGTTTTATTTATTAAATTTGTATTTGTTAATGCAGTGCCAATTTTTATAACATGAAGATAACAGGTGTTAGTTACTTTTCGAACATCATAACACCATATATTTACACATATACAAGTCTTGTTTA